TCGCCAGCCTGCTCCCCGTCACTACCTGCGGCTCGTTCCCTCGATACGCCTGTACCACACCTCACACAAGCCTCACTCGCCTGAGCAAGCCCTCCCTATCCCTCACCCGCTCTCAGGCGAAGAGCGCGGCTACTGGACCTGCCCTGGACCGGACACTGACATTGCCTGTCCGGCCTTCGAGGTCGGGATAAGCTGCGCTGACTTTGACCAGGTGTGCGCGAATTGGTGCGGCCGTTGCCTCGACCACGACATCACCCACCACACGCTCTGCCAGCTCGGGAGCGCTCAATCTCCGCCTGGGCAGCGGGCGCGGGATTTGTGAAGGTGATTCGCCATGACGCACCTATTAGGCACGACCCGGCCTTGGGGCGGGGCCCGACTCTCGGCGCTGGCAGCGAGTACCCACAGAACACCGTCGTCCGCCATTGCTCCTGCGAAGGCCCGGAGCAACTCCCAGCGTCTGTCACTTGCCCGTACCAGATCGCTTGCCCCGAGGGTTGCCGCTTTGCGCCGGGCCGCGAGCTCGTCGATTCGTCGGAGGTCTACGTGGCTCACGACAAGCATCACGACCGCAGCCTCCTCTTCGCGTCCACAAGTGGCTGTCCGGTGGGTTGCGCCGCGGAATGAATGAGGGCGCACGCCGATGCAAGGTTGGGCTTCCAAGAAGTCTTGGTCAGACGTGCTCGTTAGGTCTGTTCCAGCCAGATGTCCCCTGTTTTCTCTCTCCGAGGCCAGTGAGGTGATCCATCAAGTGGCTGTCGATCTAGTAGGATCTGCGAGTTCCTCGCCTAGTCGCGCGAGAGGGAGAGAGTCTGTGGGGCAGTCGTTAATTTTTCTTTAGTTAGTAGTTAGTGAGTCGATGTGGGGAGTGGGGCCGAGCCATACAGCACGCCGCACGTAACGGGCGTGTAAGCCGAATCGCCGTAACCGCCGTATCGCGTGTGTACCATATCACTCATCATGGCTCTCTACTCTCAGGAAGGGGGCGTTAACAGAACACACATACTCTACACTCACACACGACACAGGAACTCACAGGTCACAGCGCGCGCCAACCGCCATGGCATCCACATGGCGAGACCCTCGCTGACCCCCTCGACAAATTAATGCCGCCGCTCGCGAGTCAGTACACAGTAGACTAGTCAGTAGAAGGCGCACGTGCGGTTTCGTGCCCAGACGCCAGACCCTCACCCTGATAATCCGTAATCCCTGTGCCCCCCCCCCGTGCCCCGTCTCCGCTCTCCGGTCTTCGAGGAGGTGTGGGTGCGCGCTGAGAGCGGTGTCGCGGTGACCGTGCGGTCCGTGGCGCAATGTGTCTGTGAAAACATAACGCACACAGATAAAGCGATGGCTCGGATAAGTACAGTACCCTAACGCCGGTGGGAGAATGCGGGAAGTAGACAGAGCACTGTGAGAAGACATGCGGAACACGGGGTCAGAACAAGTTCGAGTGAGTGTGCAGCGAGCGAGAGGCTCTCATCGTGTGCCCCACCTCTCCATGTTCCATGTGACAAGGCATGTTCGGGGCAATCGGTTCCGTGCCGGCATCTGCCGAGCTCAGATCCCAATCTCGCGCGCCAGGCTTGCGTGTCAGAAGTAGGCGCCGGACGAAAAGAGGGAGTGCATCTGGAAGTCGAACGAGTGCGAGCGGGCGCCCCTCGGGTCGGTCGCGCCGCAGCCCAACAGTCCTGCCTCGGTGCCTTCGAGCGCGTCGAGTGCGTCGATCTGCGCCTACGAACGTGCCAAACCGACGCCGTGGAGAGTGGGCTCGAGGCGGCTTCGCGCGCATCGAGGCGTCGCGCCAGCAGCCCCTCGTACGTCACAGAGTCGACGCTCGTCGGCATCGGCGCCGGCTGGCTGGTGCCGATGTCCGGGGCGGCGGGCGAAGTCAGCCGGATCGGCGTCGCTGGCGGCAACAGGGCGACGTACGTCGCGGACTCGGGCGCCAGGAGGCCTGAAGGAGAGGAGAGGGGGGAGAGGGGAGAGGGGGGTTGGTTGCGCTGGGGAGGGCGGGGGTGGGGTGGGGTGGGGGGGGGCGGGGCGCGCCTCTCCGCACCAGCGTGGTCAGAATGGTTCGCATCTGCACCGAGTGCGTCAGCTTGGCCTGCGTGGGGTGTGGGGTTGTCCAGGTCGCCAGGTGGGTGTGGATCAAGGGGGCGAGTTTGGGTGTTTTGGGGGTAGTAGTGGGGTAGGGAGTAGAGGTAGTCGTCTCAGTAGTGTCCTGTCAGAGCGTCCCGTGTCGGTCAGGCAACGTCTGTCGGATGGTAGGAGAGAGTGCGTCGTGTGTCGCAGGGATCAGTCCTGTCTGAGTGGGGGGGGGGGGGGGAAAGGGAAAGGAAAATCATTGAGCCTTGGCACCAGCCAGGCAGTGGGTTTGGCCTTGGCATCAGCCGGGCATGTTGTTGATTTGGCCTTGGCATCAGCCCTGGGAGGGGGGCACGCGGGACATGCACACAAACGCCAGAGGGGCGCAGCACCGACCTAACCCGTCGGAAGTGGGGGGAAGGGAGTCCCCCGGGTCCTGCGTGAGCGCGAGAGTAACCCCAGGAGGGCCAAGATGAGCGGTGCGCGCGGGGGTCGGCGTGGAGGGCGAGGAACGCGCCGCGAGGGGCGCCGCCTCACCGGCCCTCGCCAACGCCTCAAAAGTGGCGCAGAGTGAGGCGGCGCCCCGAGGCCGAGCGAGCACGTGAGCCCCGTGGCACGGCGCCGTGGCTCCAACCGGGCCCTTCCTTTTTTGAGCAAGCGTGCCGCCGCGCGAGCGACGCTCCGAGATCCCCCGAAACAACCCGGCCCGGCGGTGGGTGGGGGTGGGGGGGGGGGCCGCGGGGGGGGGCCCTTAAATGAAACCCCCAAATAACGCCAAACCCCCCCGGGAACCCGGGGGGGGGCCCCCCAAAT